CCTGACATTAGTTTTTAAAAATATTCTATATGTACTTTCATTGTTTTTGTAAATTAGATCTGATAAAGGCTTAAGTTGAAATTTGGGAAACACTTTTCCTGATCCTGTAGCTTCTGGCATGTTAGGATGAGGGCAGCTTCATATTGGATAATTAAAAAGAAATATTCTGAGGCCTGAACTATGATTTTATAAATCCATGACACCAGTTGGAATGTTTTTTTTTTTTTTTTATTCAACAAATGTTACTGAGTCATTTCTCTAAATGCTTAGGACACATTAGCAACAAAACAGACCAAAATCCCTGTGCTAGTGGATGTTGCACTCCAGTAGGGTGTGGGAAAGAGACAGCAGACATAAATAGAATCAACAACAAAACTTGATGGATGTTAGAAGGTGATGTATAGTATGGAAAAAGGATGAGGATCGTGGGGTGGGGATGATGGTTATGAACAGGGGGTTGAGTTTATTAAGAGGGTGAGATTTAACAAAGATTTGAAGGAGGTGAAGGAGTTTGCTAGGAGGCTGTCTGGGTGAAGAATGTTCCAGACAGAGAAGACATCCACTGCAAAGTCCTTGAAGGTCAGAATGTATACCTAGAATATTCACAGAGCAGCCAGAAGACCCTTGTGGTTACAGCAGAATATGTACCAAAGAGGGGAGGGAACCGAAGGTGGGAAGGGGTGGAGTTCACGTGAGGCCTTTGATGGTGGGGAGTTATCGTGGGGATTTTGAGCACAGTGGTGATGTGGTCTGAATTAGGTTTAACAAGGCCATGCTGGCTGGGGTTGAGCCTGGACTGCAAGGAGACCAGTGAGAATGTGGTGGCCGGTAACCAAGAGATCAGGAGAGATGATGGTGCTTGGACTGGGTCGAGGGAGTGAGTCTGGTGAAGTTCTGGCTATGTTTTGAAAGCAGAGCTCTCAGGATTTCCGATGGATTGGATGTGGGTGTGAGAGGGAGAACAGTCAAGCCTGACTCCAAGGTTATGGCTTGAACAACAGAGCGGAGATGGCTGTGGGCAGAGTGGACTTGGCGGTGAGATCAGGAGCTTCGTTTCACACCTGCTGAGTTTGAATGTCTTTTAGACATCCCAGTGGAGGTGCTGGGGTTGGAGAGAGGGCTAGAGATGTAAATTTGGGAGGATAGAAGAGTAAGAGAAGAGGGCCAGAGGCTGGAGCCTGGGGCATCTCAGCTTTCCAGGGGGTGGTGGAGGAGGAGGAGCCCAAGATGTGACCAGCGAATTAGGGGAAGTGGGTAAAATAACCAAGTGTTTTGGAACTGGAACTTTTGTTAGCTTTTAAACAGTTCATAAATGTGGATATGTGCCATTTGAATCCACAAAAAATAATCAGCAGCTATATTTAGGAAGAACGTACCTTCCTATTGCTCTTGAGTTTTCTCTCAGCACATCCCTCTGAATATTTTTAATATTCTTAAACACTCTGAACCACTGAACAATTTTGGAAAATCAGGGGAAAGGGAAATGTGACTGATACTCCACTCATCCTAACTTTGCGGTTAATATTTTCGTAATTGCCTTCTCATTTTCCTCTGTAGTTTTTTTTTCAGTTGTAATCATGTTGCACACAACAGTTTTGTTTCCTGTTATTTACTTGTCACAGCAGCATTTTTTTTTTCATGTTGCTATTATAATGTTCAAAACACGATTTTGTTGGAGAGCTTGATTTCTTTTGGAATTGGTGTTTGTTGATGCAAGGATTGCATGGATCCCACCCCGTTTCTGCCAGCTGATCTTTGCTTTCCCTGCCTTCTTTGCCTGTGAGCACAAGATTCATACTGTGCTTCTCTAGGGATGGAGAATGCTGGAAGGAGAGGGAAAGTTGTTAGGGAGGAGCTGGTATGAAAAGGAGGCCCCGGAACAAGCAAGCCGGGGGCAGACCTGGCCAGCGGGAGGGTAACAGGCTGCAGGGCCCGGCCTGTGAGGAGAGTGACCACGCAGGGCCACGCTTTCTTTTGTGACATCCTCAGCAATCACACTTCAGCTCCTCAAGGGTTTGAAAGAAAAATTGCAATTCAAAAGGAGAACTCTTCATGCACAATTTGCATACGAGTGGCATCTGTGTAATTAAGGACAATTAAATTCTCCGGGCGGAATTGAAAGGGAGGCTCCTGCTATGGTTGCTGCCTTCCTGCTGCTGCAGCCTGTAACTGTCAGCTCACCGGAATTCAGTTGGAGGAATTCTGCCCACCTGCCCCCCCCCCCCCCCCCCCCCAC